GCTATGTTGATATGTGATATCGATTTTGAGTTGTGGATTGTATATATCTGTTTTTGACTTATATGTGGGGAGTCGTGCTATGTGCTGAAATTCGTTACTCTAGCGAGCGTGTGTGCCCTGATGGACGTGATGTGGACCCAATGGTTGAGACGGGAGATGGCCATCTGATATGATTGTGACTGTGACTGTGATGCCTCCGATCATCGAAACAGTGGATTTCTCCAATCGTAAGAGCCACGAGGCTGGAGTCTCGTGATGTGATTGTTGTACTCGCACATATGTATGCTTCATTCTAGAATTGCTCACTGTATATGCATATATATATGTATGGGTTTTGGACATTGTGATGTGATACATATTCCAACATGCATAGGTTATGTATCATCTCTACTTATTAAGTTTCGCATCTTATCTTTTTTCATCATTCTAGATTTGGGTTGCTGTTTTCATCCCGAGTAGCGTGCTGGAGTCAGAATGAGTGTTTGTAAATTTTTTTGTGGTTGATGTATAGGCATTCTTTTTGTATACTTCTTTTGTTATACTTTAGAATAGCTCTTTTTAAACTTTTAGATAGATTCTGTTGGTTATGTACTGGATATTATATAATGGATTATCCTTCTATTGATGATTACTTTTGATATTATTTGCTGTTGAGACTTACTAGGGTTGATAAACCCTAGTGTCAGTCACGAGCCCAAGGTCGGGTCGTGACAAAATTAAGGAAAAATCTTTTTCTATATTTAAAATGAAAAAGAAAATAAATTTTTCACTATTCAATTCAGAATTTAATCCTCATGATTATGATTTACAGTTTAATTCCAGTTCAACTCTCACAGTTTAATTTTGATTCCAGTTCGCCCAGTCCCAGTTTTAGTTCTAGTTCTAGTTCCTATTTTGCTTTCAAAAATTAAGAATATTAATAGACCGCGAAAATTTCTTGTTTAAAACTTGATCAGATTGGAATTAAATAGACCCTTTTTTTTTTTTGTCAAAACCGAGAATAGGACTACATGTTCTTTAATTGTCCAATATATATGCAATCTAATTTAAAATCTGCTTTGTTCTATCAATTTCTATGTAGACTGGTAAAGTCGTTAATTTAGCTATTAAGAATGATGGAGGAAAATTCCTTACAATATATCAAAATGACGGGGTAGCACGTTTTTTGAAGCTAATATGTTATAAAAATAGGATTAAGATGGTGACTTCTTGGTAATGCAATTGTGTCCTCTCCTGGCTGATGGAGCCCAGAGGAAATATCATGATAAAGTAGACCCAACTGCAGCTTGACGTGATTGACTTTAACCCAAAAATGAAGGCATATGAAAAATTATTAGGTACACATGTCATCTTTTGATAGATCACTGATATTAATTTTTATAGACCTTACAATTTAAGTAAGATTGTAAAGCTACATTTTGAAGCTCCCCTCTAAAAAAATATGAAAAAAAAAAAGAAAATGAGATAAAACTGGCCTTTAGACTGGTGGAATACAAAGAGAAAAAAAAAAAATAAGAAAAGAAAATTAGCTGGGCAATGCTTTGGAGGAAAGAAAGTTAAAGCTGGCTATTGGACACTTGGGACAAACCTGCTGGGAGACAAGAAGTTTGCTGATTTTTTTTTTCAACCCTTTCAATTTCTTTAATTACACCTTTTAATGATTTTAATAATTAGTTCTAATTTATCCATTATTAAGGGTTCTAAAAAAATATATATATGTTTTGTACTGTACTGGAGGAATAGAAATGGAATTTTCAGGAATTATTAGTGGTCAAATAAGGATAAAAATTAGACTAATTAACAGGTTGTATCTTTATATTAAACCTTTCAGATGCCTTACACTTATAAATACAAATTTAACATCTTACCCCCTCATTTTTGACCGCTTGCAACTTAATTCAAAATTCAGCACTGGAGCGTGGTTTTTATTTGACCTTTGAAGATAACAATTAGAATGTAGTTGTTTTCCTCCAAATTTCACTAGGATGCAAATGCGTAAAATATCTTATATATTATTTTCCTCTAATTTCACTAGAGTGCAAGTGCAAAGCATCCTATATATACTATTTTTCCTCCAAGAGGATACCCCCAAAAAAATGTTTCTTATTCATAAGTAAATAGTTGAAAATAACTTTTTTTTATCAAACATTAAAAAATTGTTACTTTGCATTAATTTTATTAATAAACCAAAAAAGAGAAAAATATATCTTTTATAATTTTCATTTTTTATGATTTTCTCATTATTCCATTTATGATCCAAAAAACAGATCAAGAACCCAAAATATGCTTCAGCCGGTCACTCAAGCCACATGGGACTTTACACTTACATACATTTTTATTCAATTGCAATTAATTTTTGTTTCCTTTGGCTTTTTAACAAATTCAAAAGCAATGGCATATATAAATTATATAGTTGTAATTTAACAATTCTGTTCCCTTTTCCTCTTAAAAAAATTGAAAGATGAAAGAACAATTGTAATAAAATGCAAAAAAAAAAAAAAAAAAAGATTTCCCGTGCTTAACAAATTCACTGTATGCTTCATTCAGTCTTTGATCATTTCTTATATGGGGAGTGCAACTTGAACTTGGTCACAATTTTCCTGTAGGCTGGAAAGAATGAATTCCACTACACTAGACTTCTCAAAATGATTCTCACTTATATATAAAACAATATATTTTGATGCTGATGTGCCCAATATTTGCCTGTTATGTTAATGTTGAAAGCTCAATATCCCTCCTGCAAGACTCTGAAAGTTTCATGGTTTTTTTAATTGTTCAAAGATTACCATTCATCTAATTATATTCTCAGATTAGAAGAAAGTGTGTGGTAGTCGGAAGGCTAATGAAAACTCTCAATTTGAGAGCTTTAGCTCCTGAGCCAGAGGTTTTGAGATGTTTTAGTCAATGTCTTTGCCTTGATTAGTCAACCATTTAATTAATACTCAAAATAGTCCAATACAAGAGATTGCTATATGTCATTCATTTAATTAACTCTATCTGCCAGTTCACACTCATTTCTCCTCATTTCTCTTTATTTAAGCTAGCTGTGTTGGGCATTTGAGCATTTTTCTTGTCCTATAGAAGATGTTATCATGCTGACTTTGTGCATAAATTTTACATAGAACAAGACTCTGGTACACTCTCTAAAAGGAGTGTACTTTGTGCATAGATTTTACATAGAACAAGATTCCGGTACACTCTTCAAAAGGAGTGTACTGGAACAATCCACCTACCCCTGCTAGTTTCCTCCGAAATTGACAAATTTTTTTTAAAAAATTTGCTTTGCACGTTTTACGAGACAACCGAAAGGTAAAATTATAAAGGGTTGTACCGGTACCGGAGTGTTCACCTTTTAGATAATAACTAGCTCAGGGATTACAAGGATATTAAGAAGTTCAGGCGTTTCTTTTGTCCTTTTCTTTACCTTTTTTTTTTTTTTTTTAGCTTTATGTTTTATGGTGCCTAATCTTCTTGTGCCAGTTCTACCTTTCTGCAGCAAGCTGTTTAAATTGGCTACATCATTCAACCCGAGTGAATGTAAGACTACTATCTGGCATGGAAGGATGGTATGCCTTAAATGCTTAAATGCATACATGCTTGAGAATAAAAATAAAGCATTTTATAAGTGCTTTTAATAATTTTCTACATTTAGAATAAACCTCATTTATCTGATATTTACATATACTTTGCACACTTTACAGACCTTGGAGGTTCTCACTTAAGTTCTATGTTCATAAAGTGATAATTGGCCAAATATTTGTGTATATTCTATTCTGAAATCCGCCTTAGTTAATCAGTTTCTGTGCAGCCTGGCAAAGTCGTCACTTCTGCCTTATTCAACCCGTTTCTGTGCAGAACGATGGAGGAAAATTCCTTCTCAAGATAGAGAATAGGTCAGTTGATTCTGTGGAACATATTGTAGCTGATCACCTATTAATTGCCAGTGGTAGTAGCAAGCAGGTTATGTTCAATGATAGGTTCTGTAGATAACGAATTTGATGCAAAGTGTTTTCCGTTAGTAATTGCTTGTTATTTCTATTCCAGGGGTATTTTCTAGGTATTTCAACTTGGTCATTCTATAGTACAACCAGTTCCAAGCTTATTTACTTTCAAGATTGAACATACTCAGTTGGCATGCAGAGCTCGACCTTATGAAAAGTTATCAAGTAGACATCTCATCATTGACAGATTAATGACATCAAACATGATAGACCTTGTAATTTAGTGCCGGACACTGATAAAAGAAAAATGAAAGTTAGAGAAAGTTGTCCTTGGTTAAAAGTGAGAGACATTGTTGGAATAAAAACAGAACTAAAAAAATTAAAAAAAAAAAATGGTTAATGGGGGAATATCCTCTGACAGTTAGATGGACCTAACAAACCAAATAAGTTTAACTGTTCGCTTAATCTAGCAGTTTAAGAGGGAGTTAGGAGATGACCCATTCAACAAATTGAATTGTATTGACTACTCTGCTTAATTTTTCAAATTCGATAATGAAACAATCTAAATTTGGCTTTTGCTTCATTTAGACTCGTATTACTTAGGGATGAACATTGGGGGCTTTGAGGGGCCATGATTCCATAGAATTTCCAAAAGTCGTACTTTTGTTCCTTGTGATTAGGGACTATATTTTTTTAAAAAAAAAAAATTTGACAGGCATTGTCTTTTTATTAAGAACAAAGGATGGACCTCTCAGTATTTATATAATTATACATTTATTCCATCAAACATTTTCTATTACACAATACAACATCCATGCTAAAACAAAATTCTAAGTTGATCCCTTCTACATAATCTTTCAAATTTTGGTTCTCCTACTAGTTCAGACCTGAAACAGGAACAATAGATAGATAACTAGGAGCGTCACAAATTCATCAATGGGGTAAGAGTCGGGACTTCTCACCTCTTCCCTTCCTCTAGAGAGAAAAAACTCACGCTAGCATACATAGTATTGATTGAGAAGTACAAACAGTGACGCACAATTTCTAAAGCTAGAAGTTCTACATGGAATCAACGAAAGAGGAGGGATCCGGAGGAACAGGGGCTTCTATAACTCCTTCGAGCATGAGTAAGACACTCTTCATGGTTGGCCTTAGAGACGGATCCACCTGAGTGCACCATAGTGCTATCATCACAAATTTCTTCACCCTCTTTATGTCATTCATTGCCTCTGCATCATTCTCCACCAAAAGCTCTAACTTCCCTTCTTTATAACACTCATATACCCATTCTTCTAATACCATTTCCCTCTCAGTCTTCCCTTCCGCTTCAAAATTTTTCCTGCAACAGATTACCTCCAATAGCATAATACCAAAACTGTAGACATCAACTTTGGCTGTAATGGCCTTGTTGGCAAACCATTCTGGTGCCACGTACCCTTTTGTTCCTCTTATTGCAGTGGTTGTATGGCTCTTATCTGTCTTCAAGAGCTTAGCTAATCCAAAATCTGATATTCTTGCTTCTAAATGATCATCTAAAAGAATATTTTGAGGCTTGATGTCACAGTGTATGATTTGGCAATTGCACTCTTCATGCAAGTAGTAAAGCCCTCTAGCTATTCCAAATGCAATGTGTACTCTGGTGTACCAGTCGGGCCTTGGGCTTTGGAAGAGGAAGCTAGACAAAGAGCCATTTCTCATGAATTCATAAACTAAGAGGAGGTGTTGCCCCTCTTCGCAGTACCCTATGAAGCGAACTAAGTTCTTGTGATTTGTCCTGCTCAGAGCGCTCACTTCTGCCTTGAATTCCTTCTTGTTTTCTCTCTCCACCTCGTCCAACTTCTTCACCGCAACGACCATTCCATCTTTGTCCTCTAAGATCCCTTTATAAACCGTTGCAAAACCGCCCTTCCCGATTACCTCCTTGAATCCATTAGTTGCTTCCTCAAGTTCTTTATAAGTGAAAACTCCCGAATCCTTTTTGCTTCCTTCATCTTTATATAGCTGTAGGACCTTTGAATTTCTCTTGCGAAACCAATTAAATCCCAAGAAGTTTAATAAGAGCAAAAGGAAGTTGAGAAGTGCTGAGCTGCTTAATCCAATGATTAGAGGGGTTTGATCCTTCTTCGGCCCTACTAGTTTCGGAGGAAGAAAAGTAGAATTGCCGTTCCTTACTTTCACAAAAGCATGCCTATCAACACTTGGATCAAGCTTCCCATTGGAGAGAGGGTTCTTCTTCTTCCAGCAGTTATTACTTTCGAAAATGGCAACAGCACAAAAACAATCCTTCAAGCAGACGTCCTTGCACCACTCTTCAGTCACCGGCTGGTAATGCTCGTAGTCAGACAACGGCCAGTCCAAATTAACCACTTCAGAAAAGTTGAAATGATCCGCTTCTTGGGACTCTACATCGCAACTCTGAGGCAAAAAGTTTGGCTTGCACCCACCCATCTCATCATCTGGATCAAAGAAGATATAGCCTGATGGGCACAAGCATCGACGCCTTCCGTCACTTTCAACCTGGCAGTAGCTATTAAACCCACAAGCCCCAGCTCCTGTTTCTTGGATAACACTTGTGCATATATTTGGTGGCACAAAGGAGAGAGTGGTCCAATTCTTTTGCCTGCCACCAATTGAGTTAGCTGATTTTGGGTAGACATAGTGCCTAAAAACCCCATCATATTCAAGAATCGCCCGCTGGTAGAATTGGCTTGTTGAAGTTTTGTTTGATAAAAGTCCCAATACACTTCCGTTAATTGCGTCGAAATAGATGAAGCCAGACTGATTGAACTTCACTTGATGGCCGCTGCCACCGCTTTGGATTTCCAAATAAGCTGAGTTGATGGCATCCAACGGGACATTCCTGGTGAAAAACCCAAGATCTCCATTACTTTGCAACCTGAGCTCAAACCTTCCGCTTGAGTAGTTTCCCTCAGAGTGACGAGCTACGAGTTTGCTTCCTAGGTCTAGTATTTGCGTCGGCAATATGGTGTCTGTTGGTTCGTCAAAGCTCTGCCATAGGATGGCCCCGTTGTTTTTTGCTACAACGAAGTTGCCACTATCAAGCATGGCGGCATAGGCAGCTCCACCCTCGCTCAAGTTGCGCGACCATATTTGCTTTCCACTGGGGTCAAGAAGCATGAACTTTCCATCTGTCGTGAGTTGAACTTTGGACCCTTCTTCGGCTAAGGCATCTACTTTGGCCGACCAAACTATGGTTTTCTCTGGTATTTTGTCGAACCAAATGGCCAGTAAGTAACCGTTGGTTTTGATATTTCGAAAACCAAAGGCAAAGTCACCGGATGGTGACACCCAAGACGAATTGCTCCCATTTGCAGTGAGGGAAGAACCCAAAGTAATGTTTTGAGCGGTTGAAAATGGGTGCAGAAAGCAGAAAAGGAAGTGAATTGAAAGGAGAATGAGAACGAAATCCATGATCAAACTAGAAATTTGAGGCTCTATGCAGGATAGGAGATGCCAAGGGAGCTTTATAAATAGAGTGGAGTTCCACAAATTTCGCTGTGGAAATAGAAGTCTCCCCCCAAGTCTTCTTAACGAGAATGACGTTTTATGATTTTTCTGTCATTAACTTCTAGTCTATTACAGACTGGTTTAGCAGCCGGGAATCACCTTGATGCATTATTGAGAGAGGTGGAAAAAGTAGCTTGCCTGGATGTTGATAGGAAAACTCATATTTGCACTAATTCTCCTAAAATCGATGCTGCAATTTCAAATTTTTGGAATATGTTGGATACTGAGATGAGTTCTTCGATTATACATATATATATATATATATAGAGAGAGAGAGAGAGAGAGAATTTTGTTTCAACTAATGTGGACCCAAATTAGTAACCAGCAACAGTGACCTTATCAAATATTTTGTTGGATAAAAAACAGAAGTTGCAACAAAAATGCAGTAAGTGTTGATACAATAAATATATGAAAATTGAATTGAGTAAACTTATACGCACCGTCCTAGAAGTCGCAAAAAGTGGACGGGCTTTTCAGGCCATTAAATGTTTCCTGTCAATTATTCATGGATAATTATCGTAGACCAATTCAACCTAAACTTTTATGGTTGAATCTTCAACTAGCAGAGACGGTCAATGAACGGTAGGGCATGGCTTGCCGTGCATGGGAGGGCATCCTTATTTTTGCATTTGTCATTTTCGCTAATCAAAATAATAATTAAAAACTAACAATTCTTTTTCTTAACGATGTAGAATTGGCCAAAAAACTCATATTTTTGTTATTTTTGGTTAAACGTCTTATATTCAATTAAAATCATGGTCATGTAAATATTTCTTTACTATAGGATCAACTCAAGTTAATTTTTGTATAATTATCTTTACTACTCAAATTAATGCATTCTTTTACGATTTAAAAAAAAAAATCACCAAAAAGATTTTGATAAATTATTATAATATCGAAACTCAAGCTTGTCTAAGTCTATCTGTAATCTAGATTTTAGGCATTAAAATGCTCATTTAAACTGAATCATTTTGCTGGTTTGACAATACTGTTGTTATCTAATATAATTGAATGGGCAATTTTGTCTTTGCCCAAATTAGGTGTTTTCATAAAATATTAAATCGAGTAATTTCAGAATTTTCAAATATATTAAATGAAGTTAGTTATCAGTAGCATAAATAAATGAACCTCTGAATTTTTCAACGAAACAATGCTACATTATCATATGTGATGACTAATCGTGTATCTTTTTCTATAGTCAATGAAAAATAGTCAAGGAAGAATTTCTAGAGAAGTCACGGATTGTAATGATATAAAGATAGTTTCATTTTATTATTTTTTTTGTTCAGTTGGCCATTTTTTGTATTTATAAATTATAGATCATAATAGGAAAAAATAAAGAAATGACCAACCCTTTCTAAGGACCTTGACATTTACAAAATAAATTATATTTCATAGTTGTTATCTTTTAGAAATTAAATCAAATTACAAATTATGATTTGATTTAATTTCAAATCACTATTTATAATTTGAGAAAACAAATGAATTAGATTTACTATTTTAAAAAAAAGTAACAAAATTTTTCCTAGAATTTGACATCTAAAAAATTATTTCAACAAATTCATCATCTATCAAACTAATCATAACAATTATATATTATATAATAAATATATTTATACAGTGTAAAAAAATTGGAAACTAGATTCAAAATCATACAGAAATAAATTTTATCAAAGTACATAAATTTAATCAATTTGTGAAATTCGGAAATTTAACTAAATTTAGCCATCAACTTTTATACTGAAAATAGAAAAGAATATATTGCCAACTTAGTAATTAATTATTAATAAATAGATTTATAAAATTAATAAAGAATATGTTACGTGTTGGAGAAACGGTCAGTCAAGTTTTTGAAATCAAATTTTCTGTGTTGAGCTTGAAAGTTGAAAGAAAAATTTTGAAAACTGCCCATAGTTTTGTATATTCAAACTTTAAGAAAAGAAAACTCTTCAATTTGGTCCTCATTTTCTTCTCATATCAGAGAGCAATTGGACTGAGCAGTGAGGCGTTTGGTAAGAGGGAAGAGGGAAAAAATAAATCTTTGATTATTAATTTAATTAGTTATTATAAAATTTAATTAGACTAAATTAACCATTGAGTCTGCAATTGGTCCTCATGTTCTTCCTTATAGAAGTTGAAGGTCTAAATTTGACTAAGAACTAGTACAAGCATGTAATTGCACAAATTAATAAAGTAAAAAACTTCCCTTGTATTCTACCCATATCATAAATAACATTTTTGGGTGATTGGAGTGAGGATTTTTTAACTTTATGCTTTTGGCTATTGGCTTTCGTGCATAAAAGCTTACAGGCTATTCCTACTGGCCTCCGGGAAAGCCATCCCCCAAAAGGTGGAGTTTTTCTCTAGCCAAACAAGCCTATGACATCAACTAATGCCTAATACACTATTCTGTCAAAGCTGCGATGTTCACATTAACTAATCTACCACAAGGAACAAAACATTGAATTTCTCATACCTTCAAAGAATGCGGCACGAACACGATGATCTAAGTATTAGCTTGATTTTTTGGCCTATGGAATAATGTGGCACAATTTCATAAATAATAAGATACAATTTGAAATTTCCAAGCTTAGCAAAAGGAGGAGATAATGACCAATCTCTAAAACCAACAATAAACAATGGTTGGGGTGTTCAATAACTTGCGATTTCTTCAATCCCTGAGGAAGATTTTTCTTTGTTCGTTCATTTTGAAACCTTCTGATGAGATGCTCAATAGAGAACTAAATGTAAGAAAATGGGTCAAAGCTTCAATTCCTATCACACCCCAACTCAGGCATATGATCGGCACTAAGGCTGGCACTCCAACTCTAGTAACTCTCTGATCTGAAATATAATACGAACTCACAAATATCAAATATCATAATATCTCAAATATATCACAACCCTGTCTAAAAAATAACTGGAGCAACTCTAGAGTACAAATACAGAACAATAGAACATCAAGCCATACATCAACTTCGACTTGGCAGGAAACGGACAACTCGATCAGAAATGCGAACTCTCGTTATGATCTGGAAAATATAAAATGATAAATTGCGAAACCCAGTGAATGATAATATAGACTCTAGTCATGCCAGGATATGCATCGTAAAATGTGCCAAAACCATACATATAAGTATACAGTGAGTAACTTAATCAAATCACCAAATAAATCACAAAATATGCCTCATATTCTCAAAAGCACAGTTTACTAATTTAGTCATAAAGGAGTATCCTCTCATATCAAAATTATGACAGAGTGTATCATGTCGGCAGAATCACATATCACATATCATATTAGAATCATATAGGAATCCCGTATCAGAACCAGAATCATATATATCACATCATTGGACCTAGGGCACTCCTCGCACACTACAGTAACTCACTGTTCACCGGCTGAGCCCTTAACATCCTGTATCAGAATCAGAATCACAACCCGAATCAGAATAACTCTTAATATAAATTTTAGAAAATAATTATAATAGAGGCATGAATTTAAATTAAACATCTCATTTCAAATAACTCACTCTAGTTTCAAAATAAACGAATACGTGTCCCAATTTTTTACCTTTTCAAAATTAGAAAATCATATCTCATCAATCATTTCAAAACTAGAATAAAACAAACATAGCCAACTTGCAAGCTTTTGATACCCGAAATGGCTAGAATCCCATTTTGGGATCTTTGCACGCATGTTGAGGTTCTAAACCCATCATCGGAACCCACATGACTCACTAATACCTAACAATTTTACTCAATAATGATAAACAAATCTTTAAAACCCTCGAATCATAATGAACCGATTTTCAAAACCTTCAAATTGGCCAAAATTAGCCTAAAACTACCTTAAGTCAAATTAATTTGACCACAAAACCCTCAAAATCGAATTCAGAAGGTCCAAAAATCCTAGGAACCACTGTGAACTAGTCAAAATTGGGCCAAAATAAAGTTGAATCGATCAATTAACTCTTAATTTACCTTGAACCGAGCCGGTTTAATTAAAAATACTAAATTTTCGGTCAAACTGGACCTCCCCGAGTCCTCAAACCAACACGGTCTACTAGATCCTTTTGTTTTGATTTCGGAACCAGGTCAACTTCCCAATTCCGAGATCGTTTGACCATTGAACTGGCCGGTCAAACAATTTGGCCAATTTAGTCAACTTTTCTCTTTTTATTTATTTATTTTTTTTTTCCGGCTCGGCTCACGGCTTGGGCCGAGCCCAAGCCCTTTTTTTTAAAATCTAATTAGGCCACCCTATAGCTAGGCTCGCGCGGCCCGCGTGGCCCGCGGCCTACTGCAGGCAAGTCTAGTTCACCTATTGTTTTGTTTTCTTTTTTTGGTTTTATTTTTTTTTATACTTGGGCCACCCTGCACCAGGCTCGCGTGCCTTGCGCGGCCTGCATGTAGGCCGTTCCAGCTGCCTGTTTATCTTCATTTATATATATATATATATATAACCCGCACTGTAGCCAGGCCCGCGCCCTGCTGCAGGTGGATCATCCGGGTCCAATCTTCTACACCTGGTTCAACCAAGTCAGTAGACCCGATTTGCAAAAACCAGGTCTGCAGTGACCCAGTTCGCAAATAAATTGCAGAAAAATTCATAAAAATATAAAATGCACTCACCTTGACCAATTTGTCCTCCAAAATCATGAAGCTCGACTAGCCACTCCTCGAGTGAGCTTTTAATCAGATTAAAAGCAACTTTTGTGGCTTAATTTAGCTTAATTTGATTGAAAGGGGGCAAATGGACACCGATGGAAAAACTACGAAATTGCAGCACTCCAAGACAACTTTTCTTCAAATTGATCAAGGGCTTTTGTTCATTTCGAGCCAACGAAGTCGAATTTAAGCTCGTTTGGTCAAGAAAAATCCAAAATTCGCGCAGGTCTGTGACT